CGAAGGGGATGGAAGACTCTTGAAACATTGTTTGAGGTGATTATTCCTTTTTTGGATTTCAAACCTATTTTTGGTATGACTGAATAGAGAGCAGAATGTAGATAAGGCTCTATTTTATGACAAAGCCAATTTGTTGGCATGCACTTATAACTAGTAGTCCTCCTGTAATCATTTCTATTTCTGTGGCATCAGTTGTGAAGTCCTCTCTTTGATTTCTGATTTCATTTATTGGCATCTGCTTTTTTTCTGAGTTTAGCTAAATATTTTCAGTTTTGTTGATCTTTTTTAAAAGGCTTACTCAGTTTCATTGTTTGTATTTTTTTGTTGTTGTTGTTGTTGTTGTTGTTTTTTCTACTTCATTTATTTCTTTTGTAGGGGGGATACTGGGGATTGAAGTCTGGACCTTGCACCTGCAAGGCAGATGGAGGAACCACTGAGCTAAATCCCTGGCCCCTACTTCATTTATTTCTACTCTAATGTTTATTTTGTTTCATAATTTTGGTGGTGAGGCTTAAATTTAAATGTAGGGCACCACACATTCTGAGCTTACATTCTACTACCACTGAGCTATTCTCAATGCTCTAATGGTTTTTTGTTTTATTTTGTTTTGTTGTTGTTGTTGTTAATTCAGGGCTTAGGTTCTTTTTGTAGTACTTTGAAATGTAAAGTTAGGTTATTAATTTGAAATCTTTCTTCTGATGTAATAAGCACTTAGGGCATTCACTTTCCTTTTAGTACTGATTTTGCTGTGTCCCTTAAGTTTTAGTGGTTGTGGTTTGGTTTGGTTTTTGATACTTTTTAAATTCTTTTGATTTCATCTTTGCTCCGTTGTTCATTCAAAAGTGTATTATTTCAGTGAGTGGGGGATTTAGCTCAGTGGTGCCTCCTCTTGCCTCACAAGCACAAGGTGCCGAGTTCGATCCCTAGTAACAACCACAACAACAAGAACTATATTATTTCATTTCCACATGTCTGTGAACTTTCCAGTTTTTCCTCTACTGTAGATTTCTAGTTTCTTTTGTGGTGATGTGATTTCACTCTAGTTAAAAATTTTAAGACTTTTTGTGATTACATGTGATCTATCTTAGAGAATATTCTGGATGTACTTGAGAAGAATGTGTATTCTGTATTGGTTGGAATGTTCTGGGTATATCTGTCAGGTCCATTTGTTCTTAATATTGTTCCACTGGTCTGTTTCCTTATTTATGTTCTTTTTGTTTTATCTATTGTTGAAAAAAGGGTTTTGAAATCTATTACTGTGTTGCTGTATTTCTCTTCATTTCTGTCATCCTTTGCTTCATGTGTTTGGGTACTTCGATGCTGGGTGCATATATCATTTTTATATCTTCCTAATGATTTTATCTTTTTATTATATAATGTCCTTTGTTGTGATAACTCTTTTTTTGTCCTGGGAGTCAAACTCAGGACCTTATGACAACTCTTGATATAAAGTCTGTTTTGTCTGCTTTGATACCATTTGCATGGAACACTTTTTTCATTATTTTCCTTTCAGCTTATATGTGCCCTTACATCTCAAGATACCTTTATAAAGAGCATATAATTAGATGTTTTCTTCTTCATTTAGCAACTTATTATGATTGGGGAAATTAATCTATTTAAGATCAAAATATTGTCAGGAAAGGACTTACTATTGCAATTTTGTTGTTTTTACACACATCTTTTGTTCCCCCTTTCCCTCCTTTTCGTCTTCCTTTGTGTTTCATTGGTTATTTGCGGTGATGTAATTTGATTCCTTTCTCATTTCTTTTGTTCATCTCCCATAAGTATTTTCTTTGTACTTGCTGTGGGGATTACATGAAACATGTTATAGTAATAAAAATCTATTTTAGATTGGTAAGGCCAGTCTTCATCTTGGCACAGTTTTGTTTTGTTTTGTTTCTTGGTACAGGGGGTCAAACTTGGGACCTTGTACTTGCAAGGCAGGCAGTGGAACCACTAAGCTAAATCCCTGGCCTTTTGGCACAATTTTTAAACATAAGGTACAACAAAGAGATTTTTTAACTTTTTTATTTTAATTTTAATTTAATTACTTTAAATAGAATTAACTAGAATTAGTAGCTGTATATTTTGTGAGTCTAAAGGAACTAAATCCCAGTGGTTTTTTTAAACCTTGATGAAGTAAGTCTGACATTCACCTGGAGGTATAAAGGGTTAAACTAGCTAAGAAATTCTTGAAAAAAAGAAGTACTAAAGGTGATCTAGTGTTATACAATATAAAACTATAAACCTGTAGTAGCAAAACTTTGTTGTATTGGCACAAGTAAGGGAATAAAATAGGAGGGGATAGAAGAGGACAGAATGCCCAAATCAGTGTAGGAGGATAAATTCCCCAATATATACTAGGATATTGGGTTAATCTTCTGGAGAAAGGGGGTAATTCTTATTTTCTGTTTACCAAACAGATAAAATATTTGCTTTAAAGGACATTTACATCAGGCATGATGGCACACATCTATAATCCCTGCACTTGAGAGGCTGAGGCAGGAGGATCGCCATGAGTTTAAGGCCAGCCTGGACTGTACAACATAGGGAAAGCCTGTCTCAAATTAGAGTAGAGATATACTATTGTTTGAAGATTGTTACTTTTGACCTAAAAACTTAAAATTTCTGCACATCTACATCCCCTCTAAACAAAAGTTAAAAGCCCTAAAACAGACAATATTTCCAGTGTACAAAACATTAAAGAAATTATGTTTCTAATACATGACAAAGAAACTCTTACAATCAAAGGGGAAGAAATGAAATAGCCAGAAAGCATACATGAAACTGGAGAACTTGGACAGCAAGTTTAAAGCCACAGTGAGTTACTCCTTTAACCTTTCAGACTGGTCTCTATACCAATCTGCTGCTTGGTCTCTGTGCCAGTGGCAGTGCCCTGTTGGCACACGTGTAGTACAACACCACATGGGTGGGAATGCACATCAGCACAGCCTGTCTGTGTTACATTATCCATAGGCATCAAGAGGTTTGATTTTTATTTTTAAGACTTTGGTTTCAACCATTATATTCTAGAAATTTAAAGTGAGTTTTTTTTTTCCCTTTCCCTTCCAGAAGGAAAATACAGAAACAAAGCTTTTGTAAATGAGGAGAAGTTGTGAGGGGTTGAAGGGAGGGGAAGGCAATGGGAAAAAATAAGAACCAAGATATATCATGTACAGGTACAAATTCCCTATGATGAAAATGATCATTAGGTATACCTAAAATGTACCAATAAACTTAATTTAAAAAATAAAATGATAATCCAACATGCACACATTATATACACTGATGCTCACTGAAATATTACTTTTTTGGCATTTTAGATTTTCATTTAGTATAATGATGATATATGATACAGAGTTATTTTAATACATCATACAAAATTCAAAGGTTACAAAAGGGAGTAAAGTGGGAAATACTCTCCTTCTTTTCCTCTCAGTTCTGTACTCCAGGCTCCTAGTTTTTCTCCTATCCAGTTATTGATTAATCCTTCCAGAGATACTATTTGCTCATATGAGAACATGTACTGGATGTGCTTTTTGTTGTATTTATTTAACTTTGGGTTCAGAAATTAAGGGTAGTGTGCTATGTGCACTGCCTGTACCTTGCTTTTCTCATTTAACATATATCAGTGTGATCCATTATCAATAGGCAGTACAAGCAAGGTTGTGAGCACAGATCACTTGGGTTTCTACTATTTTACTACCTGTGTCACCTTGGCAGATTTCTTAAATTCTCTTAACTTCCTTATCTATAAAATGAGTTAAATAATAGTTCCTACCTCATAGGATAACTCTTAAGTAATAAATGAGTCAACATGAACAACATATGGTGGTACCTCAGTTCATGAACATAATTTGTCCTGCGATTTTATAAAAGTTGTACACATTTGTGTTTGTGTGAGAGAGATGATCATGGTCATGTTTTGTCACCTGATATAGAGTTTACAAATAAAAATAAAATTTTGCCTAACACCTCTGGTTGTGAGCTAAATTGTTTGCAAACAAAAAAAAAGCATTAGTGAACTGAGGTGTCGCTATACTGTATATAGGATAATGCCTGGAAATCTTACATAAGATAAGTGTTAACTGTTAAGAGCACATGTAGAACTACAACCTTCTTCTAAAAGCTAATCGGATACTTAATTTGGATGTATTTTATTTTGTCTGACCAGTTCCATATCGATGAACAACTAGATTGTTTCTAGCATCACACTTGGCATTCAAATTACATTTGTTATGACACATTGTTTTAAAAAACAACTTCAGTGTCCAAAGTTAGCTAGAGTATAGCATGGTATACATCCATACAGAAGAATGTAATGTGACCGATCACAGCAAGGCTATAGAAGGCTGTCTGTGATATGTGAAAATGTTCACAATATATTTTATGAAGTAGAACCAAACATTTGTAATATTTACTAAATTTTCTCCAAAATAAGTATGCTATAGATTGTAGAAATTTAGAAGTGACAGGAAAGTATAAAGAAAAATAATCACCCTAGTCCTGTGATCCAGAGACAGCCTCATGTAACATGTTGTTGCCCATATTTTATATGCACTGTCTTCCTGAAAGCTCGCATTTATTATTTTATAGGAAGCAAGAGTCTCTATCTTTGCTAAAAGTGACACAGCAATGAGTCACGTTCCCCAGCTAGGGAACTGGCTGTTTGTGGGTGTCATAGGTTAAGACTGCTCTGGACAGGGGGCCTTGATGTGGACGAGGGATTTCCAGGGAGGTGGTGCTGTTGGAACTGAGCTGTCTCGAAGGATTTTAGAACTATTCCCTTTTAGTATAGTGGCCATTTTTATTGTTCCATGCTTTTGTCTTCATTTTCCTCCTTTCCTTCCTTCCCTTCTCTCTTCTTTCCCTCCCTCCCTCCCTCCCACTCTCCCTCCTTTCCCTCCCACCATCCATTCCTCTCTCCGTCTCATTTTATCATTATCTATTATGACAGGCCCGTTTTGTACTGGCATGTTTCTAGGTTCACAGACTCGGACATGAACAAGATAGGTAAGGATCCTGCATCTTGAGCGTACCCTCCAGCGCTTGTCCATACCACTTTACAGAGTAACAGACAGGGCTGGCACTTGTCTGAGATGCTTCATCTAATAACTGGCCACAAATACTCCCTCATAAATCTTAATAAGGCTTATTTCTAGATACATAGTATTCTTTTCAGTTGCTAAGCACTGATTTAATTAACCACTCCTGCTTTTTACATGAACTCTCCATGGTCTTTGATATGTTCCTCTTCTACTTTTCAAATGGATTGTCCCAGTTTATAGACTGACCAGCAAGCAACATGTCACTGTCAAAGCCTCGCCACTGTTTTTATCATTTCTGTTCATTTAATATGTACAAAACTGGGCCTTGTTGTTTAAACATTGATTTATTTGATTACTGTTAAATTTTAACCTTTACTTCCTCTCCAGTGCACTATCTTTTTAAATCCTTTATTCTGTTACTTATTTTGTCTCTCAAGTGAAAAACGAACTCTATACAGTGATGGTTAAGAGCTCAGATTCTAGATTCACAGACTTGGTTTGTATCCAGCCATGCTACTAAGGAGCTTTGTGACCTTGTCCAGAGGGGCCCAGGAAGGTAGAAGGCAAGGAAAGGCATTCTTAGCAGAGGGTTCTCTTGGGAAGTGAAAGGTTGGTGGCCTGGTAACAGTTGAGGCCCTGTGATTTACCCACCTTGTGGCTTCATAATAAATTGAATATTGGTGGTTCATTCTGTATTTTCAAATATAGGACTTTTGAAATGAAGACAGATGCATAGGGCCTCGGATCAGCATCTCCTTGAAAATGAGATCCAAACCCAGAAGAGTGTTGAACAGAGACAAGGAGGTGTAGTAAAACTGGGAGCTCTGGAGCCTGGCTGCTCTGGCCTTGAAGTCATAGTTGTGAGGATGTGCTCTGAGTTTCTGTTTTCTCAAGGAAAATGGGCTTGGCATGTCTGCACTGTACACTGTGAGGAGCAGAGATGATTTATGTCAAGGGCTTTGCAGAAACAAGGCAATCAACAAATGATTGTCAGTTTGGACAGCAGACAGGGGAAATGCGTCTACCATTCTGGAAAGATGTAGTCAGTATTCCTCCTGCCTGGCAGTTAGCCATCAACCTTGTTTCTTCCACAATTTCTCACTTGTTGAGGGACCCAACTAGTACTGCAAAAGGTTATGTGAGTTTTTAAGAGGATGTTGCTGTCACAGAGTGTCCCATAGAATTCCCTGGGGAAGTTTATCACATGGAAATAAAACAGGAACTAACTGGATATCTGAAAAGATGACTGCTTTAGGAACTAAATTTTTTTTCTAGGAGAAGAGGATGTTTGGGTTCTCATCAACCACATCTGCATAGTCTGTGCCCTGGCCTCTCCCTACTCCTAACACTCCCCTTTTCTCTTCCAGCAGAGGAAAATTGTGTTTGTTGACCACTCTTTCAGGGTGGGAAAAGAATGTAATATATGCATAGACTGCTCAGAATTTCCTGTTAGACACCCATTCCAAACCACGGCCCTGGGATGCATTCCAGAGATAGGAACCCAATTCTAGAAGAGAAGAAATGGTGCATTCATTGAAATGTTGGCCTCTGGGAAAAATTTACTCTGGCTTCTCTTTAAAAAAAAAAAAAA